CTGGTAACTCAGGCATCCTCCAACCTCTCCGCATTGGCTGAGCCTTGAGTTCCTACGGCCCTAACCTGTGGAACCTTTAGATAGATATTTGGGGAGGACAAATTTACAGGGCTATGGGGAGAGCAGGGGAGTGGGTTTCATTTGGACAGCTCTTTCAAAGAGTCGGCACGGACATGATGGGCCGAATGGCTTCCTTCTGTGCTGTAGAATTCTATGAACTTCTATCACTCCATTTCGCCTATTTCTGTCTATGTCCTGCCTCAAAACATCCCTCTCTCCTTATTTCCCAATATAGGTGTTCATCCCCATCCTTGGAAAGTTATCTGAGATATTACCCCATGTAAAGGGCCTGCAAGTTGTTGAATAGTTTCTCCATTTTCAACCCTGTGTTTGGTGTAGTATGTGCATTGAAGTTTATGTTTTCATTTTGATCTTAATTTAATGCAAAGGAAAGTCATTATCTGTATGTAATCAAACAGTTTTAAGTGCACATAGTTAAAAACAGGGGAACTATGACCTTGTGGAATGTATAACTTTAATAGCAGAGCGCTGGTATACTATTATGCTTTCTCAGCACTATTGTAAATCCTAAAACGATAATACTCTCTGCAGATATAATAGATATAAAAAGCAGTGTAACTATTTGGTAGCTTTCCAACATATATTGAATATTTTAAAACAATCCCTTATGATCCTTTATCATTGCACCATTTAAATAGTGCAACAAAGAAACAGGACGCAAACTCTGGACTCAGGATTCAGTGTCCTGATTAAAACCATAATATTCTACTCTTCAAGGGCAAATAATGAAGTTAAATCTACCAAGTTAAACTAGTCATTGATTAAGAATAGTTTATATATATTTTCTAAGCGTAATCCATTAGTCACAGAAGTTAATTACATTTGTTTTTCTAAAAAAAACATGAGGCACTTCAGACTCCACAGATTGAATAATACAGGATTGAATTAGCAGCTTGTTTAAGGCACTGTTCCTGAGACAGACAGTCTCTTGTGATCACATAGTATATCAGTAGTTGAGTTTGTGACTCAGTTAATTAAGTGCAAATTGTTAACGGTTTGCTTTGTAAAGAGTTCGACTGATGTGCACCAGCAGTGTGGATTCAGCAATGTATCTTTTGTCATGAAGACAAACAGTAGCTGTATTTAATTCACACAAGTTATCCATAAAACAAGATTGTGCTTACTTATTTTCTTACTTATTTTCTGAAGACAGTGTCTCAGGCTGGGGTATAGTTCAACAGGTATTGGCAGCCTTCCAATACTTCACCTAGACAACCATTCTTTGTTTGGGAGCCTAGACAGTTAGTGTTGATAAGTAATTAAACCTCAGTCACATCACAGTTGAGCCTAATCATGTCCATCCCCTGAAGGCCACACTTACACCTATCAATAAACACACATTTCCAGCAGGAAGCCCTGGACAGTGATCAGAGCAGGATCATTGGCCATGTTAGGTTGTTGCCTCATTGCCAGGGATACTGAAGTTAATTGTTGCAGCTCACCACATCCCTGGATGAGATCAGCTAATTCATCAGAATAATAAATCCTGGGACACCTAAACTGCATGGCTGAGTGTCATACCACATCCTTGCATTTTATTTTCATTTTATTTTTTAGGAAACATAAAGTCATTCAGCCCATCGGGCATGTTCCACCAGTTTGTTAGATCACAGCAGATTTCCTCACCTTTCCTTCATATCCCTTAGAACCCTTATTGCTCAAATGATTCTTATGATGTCTGGTTTTAAAGGCCACATCCTTCCAGAATGCTCTACTATCTTCTCATTCCATCCACAGAAAGTTTTTAAAATGAGCTTTGTTTCCTGCCTCAGTCACCTGTCCTGGTATCCCAACTGTGAATTACCTTCTGTGCAAATAAAATACTTATTGGTTTCTGTCCTAAAATTGGCTTTTACAACCCTTAACATGTCCTACTGCCATAGCACATCTGAAAGCATTGTTCTGGATTTATCTTCTCTGCCTTATGTGGCATCTTGTCAACCTCTATAGGGACATCTCTGGGACATTTCAGCTTCTCATACAGTTAACTGCAGCCCATATGTCCTATAGACCTTCATTCTGCTTTGGAATAGTTCCTCATTTATCTAACAAATTTAATTCACTCCTGCACGCGCAATTTACCTAACCAGTCACCGAAGTCAAATTTGAATGCATTTAGTTGAAAGTAAATTATATCCTCCAGATTGCCTCAAAATGAAAGATCCAATTTAATTGGGTAAGTAATTTGTGTTTTAGGAGATTTCAACCTGCCACTTTATCATGCTTGCTCGTTGGCCCTTTGGCGGCATTCTAATGTTTTCTTTATATGTAAAACAATCACTCCCTGACCAGATTCAGTTTCTACATAAATGAAATGCTGAACATTTGTGCACTTTGAACATTTTACTTATAGAAACAAGAGGAAAGAGATTTGTGCTTACAATATGCTAGGGTGGTGGCCAGTTAAACACATTTTGAGTAGATGACATGCCGTCTGATTATTCATTCATGACATGAGATGATACAGATACATATTTAATCGATTGTTGCTTTGCTTAGTTCCAGGACATTGCAGCTGAATGCAACAGTTCCATTCATTTTTTTTTATCACTGAAGTGTTCAGTGGAGGCTGGTGGAATGTTATGCTTGAATACTTTTTAATGAACAAACAAAAATCTTTAAAGAGTATGGCATTAAAACAGTTATGTTTTGATCACAAAGAATTTGGTTTAATATTAGTTCCCCAGAATTGTCCAAAGCTGCAGCTTTCTTTTATTTTGCTTTTTACACTGATTTAAAAAAATAAACATATTTGATGTGGATGATATATTAGGTTCACAACACAGTGAAAGATTCAACGTGTCTGATACCGCAGAGACTCTGAGTTAATGTGCACAATTAATTCTGAACCCACTTGGGCTAATAAATTGGTTCTCTAGTGATGTTAATCCAGTTCCCTTGCCACTGCTGAGTTGCAGAACGTCTCCAAGTTATTGCTCACCATTATGCCATCATCATGTAAGGTTTAAATTAAACTCCCTGTTAAAAATATAGCACCTGTTAAAAATATAGCAGAATAAAAGAAGTTTTCAAAATTGATGCTAAACTTTTGCATGTTTTTGAAAAGTGCACTTATAAAATTGTAGTTTTTTTTATCCTTTCCAATTATTTTCTTCCCAACCTCTGCACCTCTTCTGACAGTATGAAATACCTTTTTCCTTCCTCTGGGTGAAAGCTTCCAAAGGTATCAGTCAATGTCTGTTTGGTACTTCACCAATATTCACATGAGTCTTGATAGTTGGCTTGTGTTACCAGGATATTCAGTACTGGGAGAAAGGTGGAGGGGGAAATAACAGCCAATCATAATCCTATGGTCATCTATTAACCACACACACCAGCAGTGGTCGCCAAGTGGGTTTTGGTCCTACCCAGCGCTTGGGACAATGAGTTCCATTGTAACCTTTGCCAACAGAGGTTAACTCAGCACAGACCGAGGATTAAACCTGGAACTTGCACGGTTGTGTTCTTTCTTGCACCTGATGTACAAGATAGAAAATCATGTTTCTAGAAGATCAAATGGTTCGAAAACCACAATCCCAACACATTCCCTTTTTTATATCTTGACTGCTGCGTGTATTCAAGGATTAGATGAAATCTGCAGCTGTGAAGGAGATATCACTGCGTTATCTGTTTCCCATGTTGTGTTAAAGGTCTCAAAATGCAGTAGGTCTCGGTTTGGAATGGCAATACTTAATGACTGATTTCTATGTTAGCATCAACCTCCTGTAACTGCAAGATAAAAATCCCACTCAATACTTTGCAAAAGCTGCAAGAGAGGGTACAATTGGTCTTCTTTGAAAAAAAATCCAGGATCCTCCATAGTCTCTTTTAAGATCGAGGACTGAGAGGACAGTGAAGGGGAGTTCCTGTGACCACCAACCCCTCTAATCGCATCAAGGTCGCGGTACATCCTGTCGGCTGCGGCTGCGGCTGCAGAGGCAATGCTTTGGAGACCTCAAGCGCACAAAGAAGAAATGATTACTGGGCTGGGAACTGGTAAATTATAAGATGCTTTCCACGTAATGTACGTGCATTTTCTGCATTGCAGAACCCAAGCAGAGAAATTGAACCGAGATAGCGCAGAAGTAAACACTCCAGTACGTTGCCAAACTTGGAAGCTTTTTTTTTACACACGCACTCGATGTATTTATCTGATTCGCAACAATAGAAAAGTATTTTCAGTGTCAAGACAAATCCACCACGAAATACAGCTGAATACAATCGCAATTGGAACTCAACCGGAATAGTCTCAGTCCTGATTATATTACTTTTTTTAAAAAAATTGAGAAGTTCTTACGATGCCTGGGAAAATTATATTGGGAAGAAATGTAGGCAAAGCACAAAGAGAATCGTAACAAATATAAGTGTGTGTGACATTGAAAAGATTTCAATCTTGTGTTCAGGGATATGCTGGAAAAGCAATTTTTTGGGGGTTGCAAATTTAGTTTTTTTGAATCTCTTAATTGGATGTGGGCTCAATTATATTTACATTCAACCAACCTCTCTCTCCCCTCTCCCCCCCACCCCCACCCCATCGCCTGCGGTGATCCAGTGAGGACGAGGTGCTTTGGTGTGAGATTTGTCTTTGACACTGTTGGGGTTAAGCATTGTTATATAAAAGAGGGATTGCCTCTCCCATTTAATCGGTGGGGAAAAATGTTTCGGGGGGGAAAAAAATAGTAGACAGACAGACAGACAGACAGACAGGCCCAGTGCCTGATTAGCAGAGAGAGAGAGAGAGAGAGACAGAGACCCGGCCATTGGTCTCGATAAGGGAGAGGCGGTGCTCACTCGCCGTCAGTAGTAGTTTGTACATTAGGGGCTAAAGCTGTTTGAACCCGCCCCGTAACCTCCCCCTTCCCCCCCCCCCCACCCCCCCCACCCACCCCCACCCCTACCCCCAAATCAGATCTTTGAGTTCCCGTCACCCGCACTGGGGAGTAAGTAGAAGTAGCTCTGTAACCCGTCTTCCATGATGTCTTACCCAATATTACGCGAGCGATCTCGGATGATACCGAACCCAAACGCCAACTCCCGTAGCACTGTGAAGTCGAGGATACACTGAATGAAAGCTCCGAGTGCCAAGTTACAGTGGTTGACTTGTGGTGGAGGGCTTTCTGTGCACAGTCGAGAATCATGTATCTTGTGTTGTGGGCAGTGGGGATTGTAACGTTACTTGTCGGCTTCAGTGTAGAAGATAAGCCACAAATGTACCCCAGAACAGGTAATGCTTTAACGTATTGTTAACCACTTTACATCTTATTATTTTTTTACACACGTTTTTTTTTGGCGTTGGGCACTGTGTGTGTGTGTGTGTGTGAGAGGGGGAGAGAGAGAGAGAGAGAGAAAGTGTGTGGAGAGAGAGAGAAAAGTGAATCTTTTAGAAGTACTATTTTTAAGCTAAAAATACAACGACGCTAATAATATTTAACAGGTTTTGTTACGGAAACATGAATACAGCAGATACAAACTTATTTATTGGTGTGTGTGTGTGTGGGTGGGTGTGTGGGTGTGTGTGTGGGTGGGGGGGGGGTGTGTGTGTGTGTGTGGTGTGTGGGTGTGTGGGGGTGTGTGGGTGTGTGTGTGGGTGTGTGGGTGTGTGTGTGGGTGGGTGTGGGTGTGTGTGTGTGTGTGTGGGTGTGTGTGTGTGTGTGGGTGGGTGTGTGGGTGGGTGTGTGTGGGTGTATGGGTGTGGGTGTGTGTGGGTGGGTGGGTGTGTGTGGGTGTGTGTGTGGGTGTGTGGGTGTGTGGGTGGGTGTGTGGGTGGGTGTGTGTGTGGGTGGTGTGGTGTGTGTGGGTGGGTGGGTGGGGTGGGTGTATGGGTGTGGGTGGGTGGGTGTGTGTGGGTGGGGTGTGTGTGGGTGTGTGTGGGTGTGTGTGTGGGTGGGTGTGGGTGTATGGGTGTGGGTGTATGGGTGTGTGTGTGTGTGTGGGTGTGTGTGGGTGTTGGGTGTGTGTGTGTGTGTGTGGGTGTGTGTGGGTTTATGGGTGTGGGTGTGTGTGGGTGTGGGTGTGTGTGGGTGTATGGGTGTGGGTGTGTGTGGGTGTATGGGTGTGGGTGTGTGTGTGGGTGTGTGTGGGTGGGTGGGTGTGTGTGGGTGGGTGTGTGTGTGGGTGTGGGTGTGTGTGTGGGGGGGGGGGGGTGTGGGTGGGTGGGTGGGGGGGGGGGTACATTAGACCCGCTTTACAGTTTCATTCGCGATGTTTTCATGTGTTAACGTTGGGTTATTTTTTGTGGTTGTGTTTATTTTTAATCGGGTTTCAGCCAAACGACGTTTTGATGAGCAATTGACGGCGTCTGAGGTGGTGAGTCCCAGTCGGGTGAGTGAGTTGGGAGACCCCTTCCCCAACACCGTGCATTTCAGGAGGAGGAAGCGAAGCCCCGACTCCGACCTCTGGGCCTCAGTAACTCATTACCGAATCACTGCGTTCGGGCGAACCTTTCACCTGAACCTCACCGCCGACTCTGGATTTATGGCACCGATTTTTACCGTTACACACTTTGGAATACAACCCAATCTCACGGCCCTTCACCTCGACACTGACTCCAGGCACTGCTTCTACACCGGACATGTCAATGCCAAACCGGAGCACACAGCTGTGATCAGCCTCTGCTCGGGACTGGTAAGTGAAGCACTGTTAACCCTCTCTCTACTCAATCTAATTTGTTTGCACTTTTTTGGGAGGGAAGAGTGCGTTTTAATGGCTATTACAACGCGCGCAGAACCAATCGTGTGTGTGTGTGTGTGTGTGTGTGTGTGTGTGTTATGTACAGACGGTTTATTTTAAAAAAATGTTTGATAACACGAATGTAAGTAAAGCACAAAGGGGAATGCATATATATATATATTATATAATAAACATAATATTTATTAAACGACGGGACATTTCCTCATCTTGAAAGTTTCGCTGCTGATTTTGGAAAGTCTTCACACATCGCAATATCACCTGATATTTCAATGCAACGTTGAAACAGATCGCCATCCAAACCCCTCCACCCCCACCCCATCACCCCCCCACTCCCACCCCCATCACCCCCCCACTCCACCCCATCACCCCCCACTCCCACCCCATCACCCCCCCACTCCCACCCCCATCACCCCCCCACTCCCACCCCATCACCCCCCACTCCCACCCCCATCACCCCCCCACCCCCCCCCCCCCCCACCCCACCCCCATCACCCCCCCACTCCCACCCCATCACCCCCCCACTCCCACCCCATCACCCCCCACTCCCACCCCCATCACCCCCCCACTCCCACCCCATCACCCCCACTCCCACCCCATCACCCCCCACTCCCACCCCCATCACCCCCCCACTCCCACCCCATCACCCCCCACCCACCCATCCCCCCACCCCCCATCACCCCCCACTCCCACCCCATCACCCCCCACCCACCCCATCACCCCCCCACTCCCACCCCATCACCCCCCACTCCCACCCCATCACCCCCCCACTCCCACCCCCATCACCCCCCCCACCCCCATCACCCCCCACCCCCCCATCACCCCCCACTCCCACCCCCATCACCCCCCACTCCCACCCCCATCACCCCCCACTCCCACCCCCATCACCCCCCACTCCCACCCCACACCCCCCCCCCCACCCCATCACCCCCCACTCCCAGCGCACCCCCCACCCCCCACCCCAGCACCCGCCCACCTCAGCACCCCCCACCCCAGCACCCCCCTACCCCCAGCAACCCCCCACCCACAGCACCCCCCCCCACCCCAGCACCCCCTACCCCCAGCACCCCCCACCCCCAGCACCCCCCCCTACCCCCAGCAACCCCCCACCCACAGCACCCCCCCCCCCCCACCCCCAGCACCCCCTACCCCCAGCACCCCCCACCACCAGCACCCCCCCACCCCCAGTACCTCCCCACCCCCACCCCCCCATCCCCAGCACCCCCCCCACCCCCCCTACCCCCAGCACCCCCCACCCCATCACCCCCCTACCCCCAGCACCCCCCACCCCCATCACCCCCCCTACCCCCCAAACTGTCCAAGCGGCAGCTTCAACCCTCAGCCCAATGTCTGCAACTCGGGGAGTTGAGTGAGACACAAGTCAAGTCAAGTTAAATTAAGTTAAGTTGTCAGAAACCTGCGTCAAGGACACCTCGAGTGGGAGCCCCAAACTCCCGAGTGCGCGGTGACGGCTCCCGGTCAGAGCTCCGGGTCAGAGCTCCCGGTCAGAGCTCCGGGTCAGAGCTCCCGGTCAGAGCTCCCGGTCAGAGCTCCGGGTCAGAGCTCCCGGTCAGAGCTCGGGGTCAGAGCTCCCGGTCAGAGCTCCGGGTCAGAGCTCGGGGTCAGAGCTCCCGGTCAGAGCTCCCGGTCAGAGCTCCGGGTCAGAGCTCCCGGTCAGAGCTCGGGGTCAGAGCTCGGGGTCAGAGCTCCCGGTCAGAGCTCGGGGTCAGAGCTCCGGGTCAGAGCTCCCGGTCAGAGCTCCGGGTCAGAGCTCACGGTCAGAGCTCGGGGTCAGAGCTCCGGTCAGAGCTCGGGTCAGAGCTCCGGGTCAGAGCTCCGGGTCAGAGCTCGGGGTCAGAGCTCCGGGTCAGAGCTCCGGGTCAGAGCTCCCGGTCAGAGCTCCCGGTCAGAGCTCCGGGGTCAGAGCTCCCGGTCAGAGCTCGGGGTCAGAGCTCCCGGTCAGAGCTCCGGGTCAGAGCTCCCGGTCAGAGCTCGGGGTCAGAGCTCCCGGTCAGAGCTCGGGGTCAGAGCTCGGGGTCAGAGCGCCTCCCGGAGACTCCGCAAAGTCTACGTCAGGATCGGGAAAAACCCCTCAACCTCTGACAGCCCTCAGGACAGAGAGCATCGGCTTTACCCACAGTAACCGGGGACAGGACCTGGCGCCCAAACCCCCTTACCAACTTGTTCCCTCTCTCCCCCCCTCTCTCTCTCCCTCTCTCCCCCTCTCTCTCTCTCTCTCCCCCCCTCTCTCTCCCTCTCCCCCTCTCCCCCTCTCTCTCTCTCTCCCCCTCTCTCTCTCTCTCCCCCTCTCTCTCCCTCTCCCCCTCTCTCTCTTTCTCTCCCCCTCTCTCTCCCCCTCTCTCTCTTCCCCCCCTCTCTCTCCCCCCCCTCCCTCTCTCTCCCTCCCCCCCTCTCTCTCTCTCTCTCCCCCCCTCTCTCCCCCCCCTCTCTCTCTCCCCTTCTCTCCCTCTCTCTCCCTCCCTCTCTCTCCCCCTCTCTCTCTCCCTCTCTCGGCGATGACAAACAATTGGGACATTTTAAGCGGAACGCTTTTATTTTGAATTATTTTTTTTCGGCTTAACTTCCTTCCCACCGTCAACAACAAGTACTTTGTAAAAAAAATATTTTTTTAAAAAAAATAACAAAAAAGGACGATTTAAAACTTTTTTAAAGAAAAAAACCACAATTTAATGTCACGTCGGACCTCCAGATATTTTGAAAGTTCACGACACAGAGGCAGATGGGGGAAGGCTCTTATTTTGGATCGGTTTTAAAGGTCGCAGTGAAACATTGGGTCTAAAAAAAAACGTTTTAGATGGTGGATTATTCCAACTCTATTTGAGGCATTTGGTTATTCGGATCATCTACTGTGGCTTCGAGGCTTTACGTTAAGATCACGAACGTCGCTTTGGAGTAAGGCCGCCAGGAGGACACTTGGGGCGCGTTATTATTCGCTTACCTTGTGCTGCCGTAAGCCATTCGGGGCGAAGGGGGCAATGCCCCCGAGCGCTGCCCTGACCGGTGGCGGCGGCGGCGGCGGCGGTGGAGTTGGATGTTCCCGCAGTCACCACAACAGTCGGTGAATCTGGTCCCCGGTGGTGTCTGTCCGCACAGCTGGAAACAGACAGTTACAAACCAGCTTCAATAAGCCTGAGGACTGCAAGTGCATCGTTACTGAGCTTAGAGCAAACAGTCACTTTCTCCCCCCCCCCCCCCCCCCCACACCCCCCGGTACAGCTGCTTATTTACCAGACTATCTTGTTTACCAGTGTGACTATTGTTTTGCTCCCTTGGCTGGTGGGCGGCGCTGCTTTCCTGCAGATGTGGCTTTTATCCCCTCCCTTTTTAAGGCGGCAAAGGATCGACATCTTCCATAATAATAATAATAATCCTTGCATTTGATGTAGCGCCTTGTCACGTCTTCGAGACGTCTCACAGCACTTCACGGAATAGACTGTAAAGTGAATCGACTATGTGTTTGTGGGCGAAACACGGCAGCCGGTTGCGCGCGGCAGTGTCCCACAGACGGTCGTGGATTGAAGTGGCCAATTTATTATCTTTTTTTTTCATTTGAGGGATTATTATCAAGCGTGTGGAGTAAAGAAACTTGCCTAAGGTTTTGCCGTGCTGGGAAGGAAGGGTGGGGCGTGGGGGGAATTCAGAAAATATTGCAACCTATTCCCCCTTTCTATGCATCGAGAAAGAGAGAGAGAACATTGAGGGTAAATTTAGCTGTGAAATGACTACAACTTATTCTTTTTTTAAGAAGTGCATAAATGTGCCTGGCTGCTCTTGTGGGCAGGGAAGGGGGTGAAGTTGTGTGAAGAGTTTTTTGAAGTTGTTTGGCAGCTTGTGTTAGTGTGGTCCACCTTAAAAAGGGAGGCACTGAGAGAGGGCGCATGCGTGAGCATGGGTGGGGGGGGAGAGGGGAGCGGGTCCTTGTGTCTCCACTACACTGAGTAGATTGGGTTGAGTGGACAGTGGAAGGAGGGGGAGAAATGGTAACGTGCAACATGTAATCTCTTCATAGACTCTCTTAACATGGGGGAGAGAGAGGTGTTGGGAGGCGGGGTGGTGGGGGCAAGAGCTGCACAGAGAAGCTTAGAGATGTCTTCACACCTGAGGCAAACTTTGTTAGACTTGTGGTTGGACAAGCATCAGGTCCCGCAAACCAGCCTTCAGTGATAAAGCCTGTTTTTTAAAAAATCTTTCTTGCTATATTTCCTCCTGCATTTTTACATATATATATGCAGTCGTGTTAAATCTTGACTGATGGAATGTGTTTTTGGAGAGAAGTTGCATGTTTGTTGAGTATCTTGATAACTAGATACTATAGAGATGACTCTATAGTATCTTGTTTTCCTTGCGCCGTGTTCACCATGAAGGTGTCACAACATTGCTTCAAACTTGGCCAAGTGCCTGTTTTGGGAAATCCTATTTAATCCAACACCAGCCACATCTCGGAAAGCGTTGATAATCTAACAGGGAACCATTTGTAACCACTTTAAAGTATGTACAGTATTCAAGCATTTACTATATGTTCTCTTCACAGTTTGGCATGTTCACATCGCACGGTGGGGAATATTTTGTGGAGCCTCTCGCCCTACCCAATGGGGAAGAATACAATGAAGAACACAACAAACCACATCGTGTGTACAAACGAGATGCTCTGAAGACTAAATTGACAAGGGAACTCACTGATAGTTGTGGCAACTCAGGTACTGTATGTTTCAACATTTTTTTGTACCAAACAAGAGGAAATCACACTCGCCAGGATGGGTCACTAAACTATGACTTGTAAACTGCGGTGATAGAAGATGCTTGATGGTTAAAATATGCTATCCAAGTTTATTGTACAAATCAGTTACCCATGCTTAATTAGTGCAAATAAACTTTACAATCAATATGTTATTATTATAATCCAATATTCTCTGTACAGATCATAATGTTTCATAACATAGTTTGCACTACCGAAAACATTGTTTATTTTTCAATATAGGAACAATATTTTTATTAAGTCTCAACAATGGAAATGTTATTTACGAGAAGGACCAGCATGTTGACAAACTTATAGTAAGAGTTTAATTTGATGTAGCAAAATTGAAACCGAGCAAAATGGATATCAACAATAAAGAGCTTTGAAATTGCTCGACGATGTTCTAAGGTACTATATCAAATGCAAGCATAATTTATATAATCTCATTTGACGGTGAACCAGATTCTTAAAACTAGTTGTTGTTAAGTCAAGCAATATCCGCAAAACTGTGTTTCATGGGTATTCCCTAAATAAACTGATGATGAATTGAGTTGAAATATTCAAATTTAATAATTAGTGTCAAATAAGAAAAAGAATTGCTGGAGTTCCACAACAAGTTAACCAGCATTCAGAGAGAAACTTAGTTATAGCATTAGGCATGACCCTTCCTCAGAATGCATTCTAACTATTTGTGCAAGTTTGTGGTTTAGAATAGATATTGGAAATTATTTGAAATGGAATAGGAAAAATCCAGAAAAAGGAAAGGCATAACTGGGTTAAGTGAAAGTGAGGGATGGATGGAAATGAGAGGCAAGAGCAGGATCCAACACCAATGCAGTTGTTGTTTGTGGAAGGCAAACAATGAGGGAATGGAAATGAGTAGGTTGTGCATTATTCCTACAAAAAGGCAGAGGTCCATTAGGGATTCAGCAGCAATGTTCAGGTTAAAATTTATTGAGAGTCGGGACAATTTCTGGTTTCAAGACTGCAATAAAAACTTAAATGGATAATATTAATATAACATCCAGATGAAAAATTGTTTGGATTTCTAACAAATTGAGTTGGATTAGCCATTTCTAAATATGATTCAAGTGTATTAATATCCTAAATGTCTATTTTTTTAACGTTTTTTCATCAAAAAATGTACTGTATAATGATGGATACTATTTTTTCAGGGTATAGAGTGCAGAGGAGGGTACTGTCTGTATATGTTTAGTGCAGATACAATGTGACTAACCTATTAGCAGTTGCATTGTGTGGATGTATATTGGTGAAAACAGGCTTTTGGAATTTGAGCCAACTCATGTTTGTAGACTAGTTATCAGAATTTTTAATAATAGTGTACCCTTTTCACATAATGCTTGTTCAATGGACTGATATTTGTAATGACTATTTTCATTGTTTCAAATTAAATATTTATTCAGAAAACAATGTCCTTCATAAGAATCGTGGCTTAAGCATGTGAGTTCATGAAAACTGAAAGCTTAGTTGAAATTTTATTGTTGTAATTATGTAATAGCAGGAAATCAGCCCTTAGACTGCCAGTCGACATAAAGTTCCACTCTGTGAAGCCAACATTTCCGTACATTTTCAATTTGTACACTAACACTGATCCTTATCCATTAATATAAATGAAACAAAAAATCACCAACATCAGCATAAATTAATTTAATGTAATTGTAAACCTGATCTACTGAAATAAATATGAAAAAGTCAAATCAAAAAGGAAAAAGTTTACAGACTACATTGTCTTTTTTTCCTTTTTTATTCTTATGGCTGTATTTTAAAATTTGCCAAATTCTGGATGCTTTGAAATGCTAAGAAAATGAATAAATAAGATGTGCACGAGTTTATAAGCACTTTCCTGTGATTGACTAGCTAGTGCAGCACACTGAAGTGAATTGTTCTGTTTTCAATGCAGTGGAACAACATTGTTGTACAGAAAACGCATTGCTGCAGACTACAGATAAAAATGGATTCAAATTACTTGTATATTTGCAGGAAATGTATCGAAAAATTTATGAGTGGAAGGTTTCAGTAGCCTGGCAGATGACCCTGTACTTGTAAAGCCCACAGTGACATTATCCTATGTGAAGGGTGCTATATAAATGCAAGTTAAAGTATAGGTTATTCTTTTCAATTGTTTCATGGTGAAATTAATTTGTGATACCCCATAAAGTTTTAAGAGAATACTAATCTGTTGGTTAGCTCATGGACAAGCAAGGCCTGACTTGTTACTAACTGTTGAGCTTTAAAAATGACTTTGTGGCTTAAGGTCACAAATGTGCGAAACCATTAAGGGGAAGCATAGTTACTTTTTGAACAAGCTGTTTGAGTGTGCAATAATTAACATTATTAGTTATGAATGGGGTTTAGCATTATAATGAGTCCTGCATTAAGTGTGTTTTTAAGATAAACTTAAAAGGGTTTGTATTTTACAACTATGAAAATGTGAATAGTTTGTGTACCGCTTTACTGTTGAAACGGTTGTTGGTAATATGTTGTTTTTCTATAATATTGTTAGTAATATTCGACTTCTCGAATGCCCTCTTTGCCGGTCTCCCCAGCTCCACCATGCACAGGATCCAGCTGATCCCAAACTCAGCAGCATGCATAATCAACCGTAATAAACTCTGTACCCCCAACAGAACAATTCTAGTCAGACTCCACTGGCTCCCTATCATCGAACAGATCGATTTCAAGATCCTCACACTTGTTTTCAAATTCCTTCATGCCCTGGCACCTCCCTACCTCTGACCTGCTTACCCCCCAACCCATAACCCGCTGCCTCTGCTTGACTGGCTCCAGCCTTCTGCATGTCTCTCGTGCCCTCCGTTCCACCATTAGTGGCTGTACTTTCAGCCTCTGCGCTCCGAAACTCTGGAACACTCTTCCTCTATCCATATGCCTTTCCCCTACCTTTCCCATCTTCATGTCACACTGAAGGTCTTCCTATTCGATGGTGCCTATGGTCACCTCTCCCTCCTCCCAGCTTGAGTTGTGCTCCGCCATTGTCAAGCGCTCTGGAATGCTATCTTGCATGAGGGGCGCTATATAAATGCAAGTTGTTCCTGTTATAGTTTTTGTGATCCGGTGATATAATCTAGTCCGGTGGATGTTGAATTCTACTTTGGGATGGCCATTTTCTTCTTATACTCCTGTTTAATTTTGGTGGTTTATAAATGTGTAATTACTAAGTGCAATTGCTCTCTTGCTTCACTTTTCTTTGGACTGCTAAATTTTGCTGCATTGTTCTATGGTACGATCAATGTCACATTATGATGGTATTGCAGAGGAAGCTATAAACAAAAATTAAAAACTGCTATATTTTCATGAGTAACACAAAGCCTAAGAATAAGAGGGAAGAAATAGAAGAATAAAGAAGTGTGCACAAATGAAGTACGATGAAAGATAGGGACATGAGCCCATGGAGAAAGAACCAACTCTAAAATCAGAAAACAAACAAACTAAAAAAAACAAACAGATGAAATAAAGGGGGTGGGGGGAAGAGACCAAATTGGAATTAAATAAACAAAAATGTCAAGCTTCATAAGACGTGAGCAAAAAAGGACATGAGAAACTTCGGAAGAGCATTTCTCAGATGTTCGAGTTCTTGCGGGAATGTGGGGACAGGATCATTAGAAGCTGCCAATGGAGATGAGTTATGGGTGAGGGTGAATATGAGTTGGATCAGATGCCAGATGGGAGATAAGGATTAGGGGCCTGAGAGCATTCATTTCGAGAAGCTGGATCTTGGGTTGTGTAGCTGAATGAGTTTGCGGGCTAAGAACAAGTTTTGTGCATGAATTAAGGAAGTTGAGTTGTAAGGGGAAGGCAGGTGAAAATAAGTGAAGCTCCTTAAGGAGTAATTGGGACGCAGAAATTGGTGGCAATTTATGTATCCTTTCGGACAGTGGGTTAGTCGATGGCAGCATGGAGTCTGTGGAATCATGTTAGAATAAGGTCGACATTTTCAATTTTGAGTCTGTGCCTTTAGAAAATATTACCAAAATAGAAATGAATGAGTAGAAATATACCATAGTTTTTCTACTCCTTTGTGTCTGTGCTGGCTCATTTAAACAGCAATATTTTCAATCCTGTCTACTTGCCTTTTTTTGTCCATTTCCCATACTTCTGTAGTAACCCGTTTTTAGATATTGTATAATGAACATTATTCATTTAAGATGCATTCAAGGGTGTTCAAGTCTAAATGAAGATAGTTTTAAGATGTGATCCTGCACCCATCAGATTCATTGTTTAGTTAGGGATTTCTGAAAGGAACCAGAAATGCACAATAATGACCTGTACGGTCACTGAAACTGATCAAGTAGATATTATTGTTACTGAGAATAGCAATCATTTGAAGGACAAAACTTGCTTTGCCTATCGTCTGTTTCCTGGTTTATGGTACAAATAATCCAGTAATTCTTAGATTGGTTGTATTGTTGCAAAAGTCAGTGTTCTTATTACCTGAATGATATGCTTTCAGACTCAGTGTAAGATACCTCAACACAATTACAGGACATTCATCAGACGGGTGGTGTGGCATAGTTGTATATTGTTCCCAAAGCAGACTGATAGAAAACAATCTTTAGTTTCAATACAGAGATGTGATTGTCATTCCATTCTTATTGTCAGACCAAGAGAGTTGAGCTCAATTGCTGATCTACCATTGGTGGCCGGGCTTTCAGCCTCTCTGCCTCCACACTCTGGAACTCCATCCCATGGTCCCTTCACTTTGCTTCCTCCCTTGCATCCTTTAAGGCCGGTTTCAAGACTCTTCTCTTCGACCGTGCCTTTGGTCTCCCTCGCACCTCTCTGCCTTCCCTCACCCCTACGCCGCCCCTCCCCCATGCTCGGACCCCGACAGCTGACTGTTCACCGCTTTGGGACGTCCTCTCGACATGAAAGGCGTTCTATAAATGTAATTTTGTTGTTGTTGTTGATCTGTTAACAACCGTA